ACCCTCCCTGAATGGGAAAAAGCAGCACTACTGGAATCCTTAACAAGAGACAAAGCAGCGATAGCTATGATAGGAGGCACCTGAATGGCTTCTAGTCCTGTCAGCACTTAGTTGAACACATGATTAATCCGGCTCTAACTCCCCTCTAATGATGATTGGTAGTGGTAAAATAAGAGGACTTGTCCAAACCTGTGGAAGGATAGTAATTCGAAATGACCGGCTGGAATTTTCATCTCTCAGATAGATTGAGATCTTAGGAAAGAGGGTCCAAGGACTTTCACTTTTATCCCAGCAAGCGAGCTGTGTGCCACTCCAAAACCCAGATGTGAATTCTTGGATCTATACGGAAAGAGGAAAAAGAAAAAGAAAATCTGCCCCCACCCTCAATATGCTTAGTACTCAGCAGCTATAAAATGTCTCTCTAGTATCTGCCGGTCAGTGTTTCTTTCAGTTTAACAAGCTGGATCATAATGGTGCACCATTCTCTGAACCATGGCATTTATTCTCATATGAAAAAGCAGGCCAATTCTTTAAGATGGCATGCTAATTGTTTGGGGGCATTACATACTTCCACATGAAGTCTTCATTGATATGGTACTTTCATCTTGTTGAACTTTTGTTCTGGATTTGCTATATGCAGCAAAAGGTGGTTGAAACAGTAGATCTGGGATTTCTGCCATGGGAGGTGCCAAAGAATTCCCTCCCTTTGGAACAGGGCACGGACAGAGATTCTGTGCAACTATTTGGACAGTCAACATTGAAATCAAGAGGAAGTCTGGTTGCTTATTCTGCTCACTAGTGCAGATTAACTGTAACCTGAGAATATATGAAATTTGGGGCATTAGCTTTTAGTTTTCTAGCCTCTTCACTGAAATAGAAAGGGAGAGAAGAAATTCCTACTTATTTCTACACAACTTGCAATTTAATTGCTTCCTATATCTACAGCAGGGATAGACAACAAGCCAGCAGCTGCAGGCAGTCTCTCATACTCCTTTTGCTGCCCACAAATATCCCTGGCAAGGATTGCACCAACATTTTCAACTTTTTGAGGAATTGGAGTGAAAACAAAAAGAACAAAAAATGCTGGCCTCACTCACTATAGCAACATCATGACATTGTGGTCTATGCCCCTGCAACCCCCAAAGATCAAAACCATTTTTTTAAAAGTGCAGTTCCAGACCACAAGAGCACTGCCCATTCTTGATATGAGTTACCCCGGGTTAATTCTGCGCTACTTACCTGATTTGGGTATATCTGACTCTATCATTCTGGGTCTAGCTGAGGGACAGGCACAAGAAGTTTAGAGTTCTGACATCCTGACTTCATTGCCATAATTTTAGATTTGATGTGTATATGTTTCTCAATATTTTATTAATTATGTACCACACTTTTGACCTTACGCCACATGTAGATGATCATTCTTTAAAACAAACAAGCCTATGCCTTAAAAAAATAAACAGATTAAATATTATTTTGTTAATGGTTCTTATTTTTAACAAAATAAGATTTTAGCCCAAAGCCTGCAGCATACTGGAGGTTTTCAAAACACTGGTACAACAGAAGTGCTGTAATACAGTTTTGATGGCATTAAAATTTAACTTACACATGCCTCCATCAAACCTCCACCCAAAAAGGAGAAAAAAGAGGCACATTCAGTTCCAACCTTTTGATTAGAGAATAACTCTCATTGTACTACAACCATTGAAAAGGGTTCCTTTAAGAACAACTTATCTCAGAAGGCAAACTCATGAGTCATAGCTTACCAAAGAGGTCTGTATAATGGCTCCCACAACAGCACTGAAGACCTTTTCTGGCAGCCGCAAGAGAGTTGTGCCACTGTCTACAATTGCTTTGTCTGAATTGTACTGAACAGGGAAAAAGTAAGAAAAAGATCAGCTTGTCGTAACAGTATGCACAGTAGTAACATTTTCTTTTGGGAGGGAGGTGAGTAAAAACACAGATTGAAGGGCCTGGGCAGTATCAGATCTCCCCAGTGCGAATCCGGGCTAGGAGGCAATCAAGTCTCTGAAGTATCTTGACCTGAAGAGACTGTAAGGTTTCCCCTAGCACAGCAATCCAAAAAGAATCATAAGACCAGCCTTGACCTCACTTCTCAAGTGTCTCTATAGTATACAGTAAATTAACTAAGGGCATCTTGATGGACCTCATCCTTTAAAGAACCTTCTTATCTGAAAAAGAGGACTTTCCATACCTAGTTCATTTTTATAGCATCTTTAAGTAAAGATATTGAAATAATGATCACAAGCAACAATGGCCTATTTTCAAATCTGTAGGACCTACTTTGGATTTTTTAGTAGAACCTCCAATTGGGGACACACAAAAAGGAGGGCATGATAGAATTATGTTTATGGAGCTTGTTAATTCTGCTACCTAGTAACACCCCAGTTGTATTGGTCTTCAACTCCCAACTAGGTCAAACTACAATGAACTATCTGTTAGTTTCAGAGGAGCTGAACACAATTGTCAAAGGTGTCCAATCTTTTAGAGGTGAGGAACATGGAAACTGACAGAGAAGCAGTTAACACAAGGCATGGTAAGTATATATATATACTTTTAAGTGTTTTAGAGAACAGGGCATCTGTTTGGTACTCTTAAACAAAAAAGAAATATCTTACTTTTACATTTCATTTGTCACACATTTAATTTAAAGAGCAAATAAAACCTCATCTTCTGTACAAATCTGCTCCAACACCTCTTGTTTTCCATTCCTTGTTCTCTTTCCAATTTCTCTGGCACATCTTCATAACCATCCATGTAAGAATTCTTTTTTTCCCATAACTCTTCTCCCTCTTCCCCTTGACTCTTCAGTCTTCATATACAATTAAAAAACATGGTGCCTTTGACTATTTGACTAAGACTATTTTCTTCAGTTCCAGTCCTTCTACTTAGCAAAGAGCATGCATTATTTCTGTCTCCTTACCTCAACCTATATCCTATGCTCTCTTTTTCCAGCAGGCAAAATGGAAGCCTCTATAATTTTTCATTGTCATTAAACAATTCACTAAATGGTGGAGAAAATAGTATTACATGTATAATCACGGAGGCTGAAGCTACCGGAAGAGAATAGTTAAGGGAGGTAAAAGAGAAGCAAAAGCAATCAAGTGCCTTAAGATATTCTAAAGGCTAACATGTTTATGATGGGATAAATATGCATGACGGGTGTCACTTTATCAGAAATATTAATTGATAAGCTTACAAAATTTCCAGGTTTCACAAGATTCTTTGATGCTGTTGCAGCATATAAAAAAATACAATATGTTTTCCTCTCCAAAAGAAAGTAACTGTATTTATTGTGTTTTTAATTAAAAAAAAAACTTCAAATTAAAACGTAATGTTTTAAAGAGAGAAACTTTCAAACTACCACAAATAAACTAGTTACCAATCAGTAGATCTCAATCAGCATTCTACCCTCCTCTGAGTTAGAGCAATGTCTCCCAATATAATCAGGAACACTAACTCAAATTTCAAAGAAAAAGTAGAAATGACTATTTCCCACTGTTATGCTCAACGAAACAGTCACAGTGTCCCCTCAGATGAGAGAGCGCTTTCTTTCATCTTCTTTTCTTCTCTTCCCCTTCTCTTCCCAATTAGCACATCATGATTTTGATTTTACCCATCAAAATGTTCTCACAGACGTTTCCTCAGAATGTGAGTACTTGGGCCACCACCATCTCTCCCTAACGTCTTATTTTGAGGATGACTGTATTTCTGGTAAGTGCAAAAGTTCCATGCAGTGGGGAAGCCTGTGCATTTTGGATTCAAAAGCTTCCTCTTCACAGACATTTATATTATATACATTTAAAAGCCATCAGTACCAGCACTGTATCACTCTGCTGCACAAGGAGATACATGTATGTTATATATGCATATGTATAGGACTACAATGACTAGTTCATTCTTATCAATGGAGGGGCTCATCTGGCAAAGCGCCTTAAACTGACAAAAATCGTTCACTGCCACCATGGCTGGACATCCAGAAATCTAGATCCAAAATGAGCGCTAGATCCAAGTACAAAACCAACCTGGCAACCTATGCTTCCAGAAGAAATGCAAGCTCACCAAACACAGTTTGCATGATCAAAAGAAGATCAGACACCATCCCAAATGTTAATATTTCCCATTCACCTGCATTAAAGTATGTGACAAAGGGAACTTGAAACCAGAAGATGATGAAACTGTCACAAACTAAACTAGTAACTTGGCTTATCAGAAATCTAATATCAACAGTGGTATTTGCTCTTGTGCAATTTCCTTTCATTTCAATAAAGTGGCGCTGGGCATAATCCCAGTGAAATGTGCCCACTATTGCTAAATCTGTACAGAATTTATAAACCTGACAGACAAGTTTCTATGTTATAGAAAGAAACAAGTATAACACAAGACACATCCAAAGAGCTTTGGGAATTCAGTTAAAGTTCAGACATGTAGAAATGGTGCTACAGAGCAACTGGAGAGGTAGAGAATATCTGAGAAGCAAATATAAGCAATTTGAATTATTTATTTATTTAAATTTACTGGCCGCCCAACTCCAGTGGACTGTCTCTCAGATACTAATTAGCATTTATTTATTTAACAGTACTTTTATACTACCAAGTTTGGTTAGACTTGTACAATATAAGTAAGCATTAAAGCCAGCAATGAAATAACACTACTTCACACATTGATCTATTTCCAAATGTCCATTTAAACAAAACCATTTTCACTAATTTGAGGAAGAACAATAAGAAGGCTCTGTGGCAACCCCTGCCAATAAAAAGTTCCAGAATATGGTGGCAACCATACAGAAGGACAATTTTCAGGTCCATGTTCTTTTTTATTCATGCAGGGACAGAACTCCAAACAGCCCCTTCTTGCATATACACAGGAGCCAGGAGGAATCCCCTTGGAGCAGATCCCACGCATCTAGAATTTTTCATTAAATAGAAGAATATTAAATGATAATTTTTACTTATTAAAAATACCTCTTTGCAGTCCAAGTTAAGGTTCTGGCCCCCAACTTCAAATTTGAGTATTTCAACTTGATAATACCACTCTTTCTTAATAGGTGTATACCAAATTTTTCCTTTGTACAGGTTTGGTTCAATTCCACCCAATACCTAAAGAGATATATAGATTAAAATTACTTTATCACATAATCAAAATATAATTAAGTTACAAAGCATGTCTACAACCTAACAGATGATCTTCAAAATGATTCAGTGACAGAAACAAGTATATTCATATATACATTCAATATGACATCTGATTTTTCAGTCAGTCAATCAAAACAGTTTTTAAAAACAGTTGATCAGGAACAGCTAGGCTTGTGAACAAACTTTTATACACACACACACACTTACACACATACATACATTTAAGCAAGGAATACAGGACTCTAAATAAAAGCCATATCCTCACAATATAAAATGGTTTTTCTAGTAACAGTAATAGAGTTGTACAAAGAATTTGAAAAGGAGACATCACAACATGCTTAGGTGTGAACAAAGCATTTGAAGCATTAACGCAACTGCATCTTCTGGAAGGCTACACAATTACATCAAAGGCTTTCTGTGGTTGTCAGGACATGTGCATGCACACTCAACATAGGTACACAGAAAACAGGGAAAGTCCAAAGCAGCCATAGCAAAATTTCCAGAAGACACAGATTCTTTAATGTTTCAAGGAGAGGTGCTCTGTAAAGCATCCCTTGATAATACTTTGTACAGTCCTAGTTAGCATTCCTGATGTCTAAACAACTTTTGACTTTTTAAGGCTATATATTTAAAGTTACGGCTAAGAATCTGAGCTGTTTTTTTTCCCTCCTATAAACAGTATCAGTTTCAGACATTACTGGTTAAAACCCAAGGAGATCCAAATAATTCTTGTGTCACAAATATTAAAATAATTTAAATAGTTTCTCCATCTCTGAACAATGAATTGCACATCATTTTCAAACATGATGAGGTCACTTCTGTGCATTTGTTATGCTGCTGTAATATATACAACTTTAGTTGATTTCTAACCAGAGAGCTAATCAACTAAAGATGAAAGGCCATAGTCTTTAAGAGAATGTCCTGTGGCTACTGTACTCATTTCTCAGGTATTCCCTTCACAGCTGAAGAGGAAAATCTTTCTCTGAAGCTTTCTCAATAGTTGGCATTCCTATGGAAAATGGGGCATTCTAGGGATCTGGTAATCAGAGAAAGATGGGGAAGGCAAAAAATCCATCAGATTTCATATCTTCCTGTTATGCAATTTCACATAGCTTGCACCATTTTCTCCACACCTTCCCATTTTTAAGATGAAGAGTGGGGAAAAGTTCAGGTAAGGCTGAAGAACAAAGTTCAGTGATATTTGTGACTTCCTACTACATTTATTTGTTCAGCTGACCGAAATGTTGATCCAAGCTGATCACATAAGTGGGTGGGTGTCCATCCATGTGTTGGCCAGCCATTCCTTTATTGAATTGGAATTGTGGGAGTGGTAGTCCCAGTACAATTGGATGTCAGCAAGTTGAAGAGCTTGCATAGGCGTTTATGTTTTTTACATTTCCTACGTGAAAACATTAATTTTCACTTAGGAAATCAGTGAAAAAATCAAATAATTGATTTGAATAAAATGGGGTTCTGCATCCTTTTTTGCATTGTTTGCTTTTTAAAAATAGCTTAACTGGGAGAAAAATCATCAATAGTAGTGCAAAATATAACTAAAATTTGTCCTTTTCAATATTAAATAGCTTTGTGTGATGGAATGGAATTGTGAAGGCCAAGATCAGGGAGACAAACATTTTCTTAGCTCGCCAGAACCGCGTGGAAGGATCAAGAGGATGAGACTGGCACCTACCTGAGGAATTCACACTGTTGTGGCTGGAGGACTTTGGGGACTGGGGGTTTTGTCTTGGGAGGTTCTTGCTAGAGGGTGTAAGTAATAAAAAAAACTTAAATGAATTAGCAT